TACTTCAACATTATATGCTGATACTTTAACATTATATGCTGATAGTTTGTCATTATATGCTGATAGTTTGTCATTATATGCTGATACTTCAAGAGAAAAAATCCAAAAAAAAAAATTGTTTTCAATTGCAAAGTTTAGTATATATATACATGTACATGTATTGTACATGTATTGGCAAATTGATGGGACGAAAAGGGATAGGAGGCACGTGTAAGCAGTCTTGAATATACTGGCGTATTTGGGAAGGGGTAGAGAGTACATATATAATATTAAGAGTGAACTAAACGAAGATAGCTTTGCAAAAAGTGCGTGTACTGCACGAAAATTTAAATATATTTTGGAAGTTCAGGAACTCTTCATGGTATTAAAACTTCGCTGTTTTTTTAAACATCAATGATGTTACAGGACATCAAAGCAGAATAATACAATTTATAGGGGACAAACATTTGATTCGTTGAGGGGGGGTGCAATTTTTTTTCTTCGAGTCATATTATTTATTTTCATGTCACTTCGTGAATGATAGATTATTCATTTTCTAGATGACCAGGTACAGATTATTTATTTTCACACAAAACAAAAAAGTCTAACCAAACTCGAAAACTCCATTTCTTTGGGGAGAGGGGTGGGCCTACCGCCACGCCAAATTCATCCTCGTACAGATGATTAATTCACATAATATGATAACCCCCCTCCCCCCTCCCACGCGTATAGCATGGTCGTTCCGGCCTCAGAACCACGCGTCAGCACTTAAGTTTTTGATAGGTCTTTTATATGTAATTTTCAAATCGGTAGGACGGGGGTTGTTGTTCAGGGATTTCATTGTTATGACATCGACATAGTAATTTAGGCTACTAATGACTCAAAAGCTTTTCCAGAATCTAGCTGCCATTGCATTTTAACTGGACTATTTAAGCTGGTCTATACATCCAATGCCATGCATGCGATCATTCTGGAAAACTGTAAAATCACCGAAACTGAGATAATGAAGTTAGTTTGAACTTTGTGAATATTTATGGAGTTGTAATCTTGCCAACAGCCCCCCCCCCTTCCCCTTTCCAAAAAAAAATAAAAATCATAAACTCAAAAATAATATTTTTAACATCCAAACAATCAATATAATATTTCACTAAACATTCTTCAATTTCGATTAAATTATACCTCATGCAGTATAAATTCATCTATAAGAAATCATATTAAAATACATGTATTTACTTGTATTTATTTATTTTTTACAATAATGCATATAATCATGTAACTTGTAAGCCAGTAAACACATTCCAGAGGGGTATACATGATTTCAAGATGAAAGGGGGGGGGTTGTTTGTTTGATTATTGTTTAACGTTCCTCTCGAGAATTTTTCACTCAGATGGAGACGCCACCACTTGCCAGTGGAGAGCTGCAATTTTTTTTTTACCAATACTCGACAATTAGGGCCATTGAGCAGCGAGGGATCTTTTTCGTGCCAACACCTACTGCGACACGGGGCCTCGGTTTATACGGTCTCATCCGAAGGATCGGTCTCCACGTCCCACAGTGGAATTCGAACCCGCGACGTAAGGACCAACTTCTTACTTCGCGATTCTAGAGCAGACGCCACAGGCACTTGTTTCGTATATACGGGGCACCCCTACTTATTTTTACCACAAGGTACCTAACTCAATTTCAGGCACCTCCGCTTCAAACTCGTATTTTGTTTATATATTAATCATTAACCTACTTTAAAATGACATCGTTCGCTTCGAAAGACTTTTTTCTTGTCAAATTAATCGTTTCGGACGTCTCTGGTCGAGCCTCTTTTTTGTAAACCACTCATTTCTTCCTCAAAAATTATCTCGATACAAAATAAGACTACGGATCGGATACATTAACTTCCGGTTGGGTTATAAATGTAGGATAAATCCAGAGACTTACGAGAATTCCTTTCCGAGGTCTCTGGTTTTATCCTTCATTTATAACCCAACCGGAAGTTAATGTATCCGATTCGTAGTCTTATTTTGTATCGAGATAATTTTCGAGGAAGAAATAAGTGGTTTACAATAAAGAGGCTCGATCAGAGACGTCCGAAACGATTAATTTGACAAGAAAAAAGTCTTTCGAAGCGAACGATGTCATTTTAAAGTAGGTTAATGATTAATATATAAACAAAATACGAGTTTGAAGCGGGGGTGCCTGAAATTGAGTTAGGTACCTTGTGGTAAAAATAAGTAGGGGTGCCCCGTATACGAAACAAGTGCCTGTGGCAGACGCTCTAACCACTGCGCCCGGACGCGGGCGACCGGGGGGAGGGGGGGTTAATATTAATGACAACATAAACTCAAAATACTTGTAGTAAAAATGAGTATATAAGAGCAAAGATTTTCTCAAGATTCAGGTTTTCTCTGTTGAATATCAAGACCATAAAAGTTTTCTAAAACTTTTCTTTCTTTCAACCTCTTACTTTTTTTCTTCATTTTTTTTTAAGACGTACATATACCACACCTATATACTTTATGTATATATATATATATATAAGTGTGGTACATCTTTTTTAAACGTGGGTTTTCTTGACTGAAAGTGTCAGAATCTTTATTTTAACAACTTTTAAGTATTTTTAAAGTATTCATAAATTATTTATTAACAACCCAAAAGATAAGCCCCTATGATTACACATACATATTTTAAGATACAACGTTAGTTTTCCTTGAAATGATGAATGTGAACAACGATCGAAATGTCTATATCTACTTGAACCTTTAAAATCCGACCAAAGGGACCTTATTAGCTGAGAAAAGGCGTGCATACGTCGAACAACCTGCAATATTCCATCTTAATAAAAACTTAATATTCTCACACATTCTGTTAAAAAACGCGTTTTGGACGATTTTTGTAACACGATCCCGATGTTTAACCTATTTTTAAAGCACCATATAGTGAAGTATCATCATATAATGTTAAAGTATCAGCATATAATGTTAAAGTATCAGCATATAATGTTGAAGTATCAGCATATAATGACAAACTATCAGCATATAATGTTGAAGTATCAGCATATAATGTTAAAGTATCAGCATATAATGTTGAAGTATCAGCATATAATGACAAACTATCAGCATATAATGTAAAAGTATCAGCATATAATGTTGAAGTAACAGCATATAATGACAAACTATCAGCATATAATGTTGAAGTATCAGCATATAATGTTAAAGTATCAGCATATAATGTTGAAGTAACAGCATATAATGACAAACTATCAGCATATAATGTTGAAGTATCAGCATATAATGTTGAAGTAACAGCATATAATGACAAACTATCAGCATATAATGTTAAAGTATCAGCATATATGATGTTGAAGTAACAGCATATGATGACAAACTATCAGCATATAATGTTAAAGTATCAGCATATGATGTTGAAGTAACAGCATATAATGACAAACTATCAGCATATAATGTTGAAGTATCAGCATATAATGTTGAAGTAACAGCATATACTGACAAACTATCAGCATATAATGAATGTTCTCCACATAAGGCAGCTGCGGCGTTCCATAAGTTAACAATAGTTACTTCCATTCACATGTCGACGCGATATATCCCAATGAGCTTGAAATAAAAGATACCACAGATTCTGAAGTCCGTTTTTGCTCTGCTCCAAATTTGTATTGTTTCATTGTACTTTCGAGATCAAATACTGTTCGTTATCTTCATATTTTATTCTAAACTCAGTAACCAACAGTAAGATAACTTAAATGTGCTGAAAGTCCTTGACAACTCAAAATTTCATATAGTATATGAACATATTATCAGTCTAATTTGAAATTATATCCTGTTTTTTCCCTTGTTTCTACCTTAATAAAAGTTTTTTTTTGTACAAAGAAATATCAGCAGCATTGTAAGTTGATAATCTATTTTTCCGACTTTTTGTATGTTTTCTATTCCCTTTAATGTGACAAAGGGATATAAATCTCAGAATTCGTTTGATAAAATCTCATATAATCACAAAACCCGGCATATTCTTTTTATCACATGTAAAACCTTTGTGTATGGTTACAAACTTTTTTTCCTATGTGTTTAGTAAACCAATGATGATTATTAACATATTAATGATAAAATAACATCAATAAAGATGTGCCATGACATAACCATTAATCAGGAATCATTCATTTATAATATTTCTTTTTCATGAGAGGTTAAAATGTTGTGAAACGGATGAAAATATATGCTGACCGAGTCTCGTTCACCTATGAAAATAAAAAAAAAAATCATGCATCAGCGGAAGAATTTCAGATTTGTTAATGATATAATTTTAAGTGTTAACTAGTATTTTATACCCAACTTCTGTCATTTATTTGTTGTTTAGAGATGGTTGATAGAGATTGGAGCAAATTTCTGTCATACTTCACAACAAAAGTTAAGTACATCGATTGCAAAAACATACTATTGAGACCTCCCAGTGAAAGTACAGTAACGGATAGATCCTTCATCATCCAAACACCCAAACAAGTACAAAAAGGGTATTGAAAGACTAGTACTTAATAATATACACTTAATTCAACCACCCAAAGAAGTACAAATAAGGGTATTGAGAGACTTAGTACTTAATAATATACAATTAACGAATGTAAAATTCATCCGCTAAAACATGATCATTTTAACATCAGTGGACAATACTGTGCATATATTTATCATTAGTGTACAATATTTTCAGTCTCTGATTAACTTCTATTATTAGTGGTCATTATGGCGCATCATTAATGATGCAATTTTATCATTAGGGAAAATAAATTCACTAACTTATACAACATTATCATAAGCGGATTCTTAAATCAATAATTGTTGCTACATGATTGTCACCTTGTTTTCTTTACGTGGCGATCTCTCGCCATCACGAATTAGAGGATAAGAAAAAAGAAATTATATTAACAGATGAAAGGATAAACATGTGATAAAAAGTACTTGCTTTAAAATAGATTTTGCTGACTTTACTAGGATATTTGATAAACCTATACACCAGATCACTTATATCTATGACCGTCCAAACGGTGCAGGTTATTAAAGGTTCTGGAAAAGTCATGCGGCCTTCTCGTGACTGATATGTAGGGACGAATCATATGGCTTCGAGCCCGATCCCGATGTCTGGGTCTTCCTCGTAGTCTCGTGATGCTTGGTCTTGTAGGAGTGACTGGCACAATGGCTGGAGTATATGATATTGTAGGTCTATGAGTTGGTCTTTCAACGACAACTACACGCAGGTGCCCGTGGGTGATCACGAACGTGTCTTTCTACAAATGAAAGAAACACAAGGTTTCAGTCATTTCAGTCGTTTCAGTTGATAATTTTCAAAGCTTCAAAATTTTTCGTGCATTGCTGTTAGTATAGAATGTCAAATATGGAATCTCATTTCTATCCTTTTGTTTTATGCATTAGTATACAGGCTCCGAAATCTGAATCTACTGGATAAAATTTATCTTACTTCCACGGAAAGAAATCTAAGCTGTCAACTCATATTGTTCATAATACTAGCAACTTGACCACCCTTAAACCCACCCCTCCCGCTTTGACTGACATATTTCATACCAAAAAATATTGTATCAATCTACTCGGCTCAATGATTCATTGCATTCACACGACATCAGGGATCATATACAGTGTTAATTTACCAAATGAATGTTGTCTGCATCGATATCTCATTTTAACACATAATGCCCTCTCCAGAAAATCAGTATTCAAGATTACATATTTCATAATATTACTATATGAGAAACATTAAATGTACTCACGTAAATGGAACCATCCTCACAGAAATCGGATAATATGTCTATTGAACATCCAAACTGTGAATAGCAGCACGTTTCTACTATGCCGCCGTTAGTCTGGCGTTTGCGAATAAGATATTTCATGAATGTTTTCTTGGAATCACCTGCTGAAGAAATGAAACAATAACATCAACACAACCTGAGTACACCTTTTCTGTCATACTTATAAATTGCTTTTGTAGGTTCTGATACATTAGAAAATATTTGATATTCCTATGGTGAATTCAAAATTAAAGTCTCAAAAACACAATAAGACACAATGCGTAACATCTTAATAGAAAAACATTAAAGTATCCGATGCATAGATATAATAAAGACTTTTTTCTTTACAAGGATAAGTTTTAATATTCTATAGTACACAGTAAAAGGAGATGCTTTACCAAGAGATTGTTTAAAATTTTCTCTAAATTCAAAGATGAAAATAACGAACAGTGATTGATCTAAAGAAAAAAAAAGTCAACAAACAATACAAATCCGTGAACGGGGCAGGAAACACCTAAAACAATGCAAATCCGTGAACAGGACAGAAAACACCGATCCCCGGAAATTCTAGAGGTTAAATCACGTGACTAGGAGGAGTAGGTTCCAGTGGTGAGCCCTATGTATTGATCAGGTATACAGAACATTCAGTAGTTCATTTTTGTGTAAAAATTAAAGCCTAACAATTGATATGAAACACGTCCGCTAAAATACGACCCAATGATGACCTAATTAATTAATAATAAAAGCCAAGAGCAAAATGTCGTTTTCATAAGTAAAATATTGAGAAATTAGTATTTGGACAAAAAAAATAGTGAAGAGATCTTTTTAATTTGATGTTTTAAATTGCATAGGTCACCAGGCAAATGTAATAGAAATTATTTTTCTCAAAAAAAGAAAACGCTAATAATGAACACTAAATGTTAATTAAAGGATTCTGTACATACATTTCATTTTGTCCATGTTGTTTGTTCTTAAGATCATTTTCACTAATTGTATAAGCATTATTTTATTTGAATATATACTGAAAATAACACACATCCCACTATTCTACATCGAAGTCTAAAAATCAATATTTTGGTCTTCGTGATGTAAAGTAAAATTGCGTGTGTAAGCTTCTACACCTCTATACTATAGCCAATTCACACTAAGCAGACTGTACGAATTACCTTTGAATAACTTGACTATCCTTCTTAAGTTGCGGTTATGACGAGTCACAGAAAAATCAAATAACCAACAACATGACCCTCAACATTTGCATTAAGAATGTAAAAAGCAAAAATCTCGAAGCAGAAGGATCAAAGAGAACAAAATACCTTTTTATATCTGCTGCTACCCCTAACGTTGGAGCTGTACTTATCAATCGAAAGCTTACCTGGTCAACTAAAATAATCGCAATGCAATAGTGTAGCCATTGCCAGGAGAATCCGCCACATAGAGAGACCCTGTATCAGTTTGACGTACAGTTTGCAAGTCTATGATATTTGGCTTTTTTTAAAGTTACTTTTGCTGAGCGTCTAACTCATTTGGATACAAGAGAGTTCTCATGTTCTTGCAAAGAATACAATGAAGCGCATTGAGGTGGTAAAAATTTTCGTTTGAATGGAAAGTTTGGTCGTTTCTTGGTCATTTCTTTAGAAACGCGAAAGAAATATTCGTCGTAATGCTTTAGGACACCTCACTCTGCTACTAGCAACATCATTTACACTGAAATGGAGATTTTATAAAGTTAAAGAGAGAGTTTGAGACTACCCGCTTCTTTAAAACACGTATTACAACGAATATGTACATAATCATGAATTTATCATGTTTAATGGAGTTACCACAACACATGTATCGGTCGAGAACGTGTTTACTCGGTGGTTATGTAGACAGTCAATTTGATTGGCTATTATATTTATGGAATACCTGTTCTACAGGTATTCGAATGAACCATTTCACCGTTTTTTTTTTTTTCTTTCTAAAGAAATGGGCGTGTCATTATATGACAATCAACGTTCTAAAGATAGGTCAAAACGTTCCATTCAAATGGAAAATTTTACCACTTCAATGCGCTTCATTGTAGCACTGTTTGAATGTCTTAGAGAATGTCTTTTAGAATCTCAAATGAATTCCTTGAAAGCAGACTCAGTACTTGATAATCGATTGACCTTATTCTAAGATCGATTAAGCGTTTCATTTTTCGTCTTTGTCGTGATTATTACCTGTTAATATATATATTTTTGAGAACGAAAATATTAATAAAAGAGCCTTTATTTTCTCAATCGTAGAATCGTAATAACGATTCACGTTGATCGTTCATTGCGTTTAAAAACGTTTCCTTCAGGCTATTCGTATCGTCTGTTTGCTATGTGTTATCCTACCTAAATAATATTAGTTTAGTGCAAATAACAATCATAGACGTCATTTGTTCCCTCTGGGAATGTTCGACTAATTTCACTAAAAACCTCATATTCTACGTGGTATATATTTTCGAAATTTCTTGGAATTTGTCAAAAGTCCTTACATTCGCACATTGTAAGCATACCAGAAGAAATAAATGAGAAAATTGAAATAAAATAATAGGGCAGTAAAAATTCATATGAAATATAACAACTCGCCTTCTCCATTCGCCCAGAGAGAGAGTGTGTGTGTGTGTGTGTGTGTGTGTGTGTTTGTGTTTGTGTGTTGTGTGTTTATATAATCCTTACAAAGACATATAGCGGGTTTCAGTAAACGTTCTACCAAGCCTCTTTCTTAACTCCTCACTAAAATATAAACAGCAGTGAAGGAAAAACTTCAGGAGAACTGTACAACAATATATTCTAGAAGTGGTGTAAATCAGATGTGGATACTAAAAAACTCCAAGGAACTTTTAGAAAATTTGATATCACAAAATTTTAGCAAAATCAATAACATCAAAACGTAGGACTTTTCAACACTTTATTCCCAACGATCAATTAAAACCCAGGCTTGTTGACATCAAAGGCAGGTACTTTTTCAATAAAAATTGAACTCGTTAATTAACATACCTTGTCATTGATAATTTGCAAAATTACTTTGCTAAAACATTCTGATTGTACACACAAGTACTCTTAAGTTGATATTAAAAAGATGCTTGAGTTTCAGATTGACAATATCTAAGTAGTTTTTAGAGATCAGGGCTTCCAACAATCTGTCGGAATTCACGAAGGTGCCAGTTGCGCCCCGTTTTTTGGGCCCCGTATTGTATTTTGGATTCATATGAATCAGAATTTATTCAAAAAACTTGCACATGGGAAGAAGAAACACTTGCTGGGGCCTTCAACTCGACATTTAGATATATCGACGACGTATTATCAATTAACAATAGTTACTTCCATTCATATATTGACTCGATATATCCCAGTGAACTTGAAATAAAAGATACAACATTGTCTGACACATGTTCAATATTTAGATACTTCGCTAGAAAAATACATTAGTGGTAACCTAACAACAAAACTTTATGATAAACGTTCTTACTTCAACTTTTTAATCATGCATCAACTTCCCTTACTTATGTAGCATATACACTTATCACCTGCATAAGGGGTCTCTCAGTTGATTCGATACGCAAGAGCAGGCTCTAGGTACGAACAATTTCTAAAGCGAGGCATGCTATTGGAACAAGTTGATGAAACAAGAATGTCAACAGTGTCGTTTAAAGTCCTCATTTTGCAATTTCTGTGGTCGATACAATGATTTTGTCAGCAAATACAATTTATCATTAAGTGGAATGCTGACAGACGTTTTTCATACTAATTGTTAGGCCATTGTTTACACATTGAATTGTCTACGATTTATTCCGTTATTCCCGATCATGACAAGGAGCACACTGCAGGTGTGACCGGTCGGCAGAGAATGCTTACTCCTCCATGGCACCTGATCCCACCTCTGATGTTTAAAAGGACTGTGTTTGCTCTGCTCCCGATTTGTATTGTTTCGATGGACTTTTGTGCTTGATTGCTGTTCGGTATCCCCATATTTAATTCAATATCTGACACAATGAAATTTTAAATTTTTCAGTGCGGCAAAAAATTCTATCTGCCAAAGCAATTCTTTTAAAACTTATCTTGCAAGGTTACCAAAAAAATTAAATCATATACATATATTCAGTTTATTTTTCATAAGACAAATGTGAAGAAAATTTTAAATGTAGGTACCTTACACTATGGAGAGGTTCTCCATAATCTTTACATGCCTCCTTCAAACGAAAATCATAAGATTGGGGAGGGGGAGGGAGGCTATTGCTTTGAATTCATAATAGTCAAAATTTGCACTTATTGCATCCTTTGTTTAGTTAAACAAAAATTGTTTGAAACATAATTTAAACCTGTTCAAAGTTTTATTTTTACTTACACTAACGAATATTCTAATCTTTATATAGTTACCATAGCAACACTATCAAAATAACGATACTGTTTCCTGATGTGCTTATATATTTTTATTGAAATTAGAACAAAATTGTGAAAGGAATAGCATTTCAAAAGGAAAAATCACAAATATTATATTATTCGTAACCATGTCATTGATACACTGATCTATACATCTTGGTGTACTCAAAATGTGAAATAGATTTAATCAAACTAAATATGGCAAAAGAAAATATTAATACTTGAAAAAAGAATAATGCTGTGTTGTTTCTTCAATGCCTTTTTCTTTGGTTTAATTTTAAGAAAAATACACAAAAACAGAAAATCAAGATACATATTTTTGTGTTTCAGATGGTTATTAAAATTAGAATACTCGTTAAAGTCTTTCAAAATGCTTATCAATCTTCAATCACTTTAGGTCCGGTATATGATTAAACTTGGTATAGGTTTGGATGAAAGATACATAATTCACTGAACAAGAGATATCCGAGTTCAAGTTCATATTTTTTCATTTTAAATTCGAACGAGTATAGATCCACAGTCTTGTGTTCCTCTTTCAAAGGAGGGATAAATTTGTATCAAAGTTCTTACATATCACTGGGAACATCTCGCACGTGTGGGGTACCTACAATTTTTTAATCTTTTTAAAATCTCTGTTTTGATTGTATTTAGCAAATTACCAAAATCAGAAGACTGAAAGCAAATCAGTTCATTTACTTAAATATTACTATATGTTACGTCTGATATGAGTGAAATAATCCTTCAAGGGATATAAGCTACAATAATCAATCAATCACTATAATTAATCAATCAATATGTCACGCAAATTAAATCATAGAAAAGTAAATTTTATTTCTAATACAACTGGAATTCGGTTTGGTAACCCAGTTACTAGGTTTCTTCAATAAATTTATGAACAGCAGCAAACTTTTGTTATTCATTATCTGTAATATTTTAAGCAATGAATTCAGATTCTAATCAGTAGTGGCCAATATGCATAATAGGCGATTAAAAAGACTTTTTTTTTACCATTAATATTAAGTATGACTGTTAACGAGTAACCGGTTAATCGAGTACTCGAATATCGATTATTAAAATTGATATTCGAGAACTTGAGAAAAAATAAAACGATGCAGTAATTCTAATTTTCATTACTATTTGTCAATCATATTCTAATTTCAGAGCTTACATTACCATTATTTTGGTTACCTAGCATGGACTTAAAACTCTGTCATCTTTTGACAATAATTATATATATAATCATCTTGGTCAGTGACGACGCATTTTTTGTTTATGGCCAGGGACACTTCATAACTGAAATTCACTTCAAATTTATTCATTGACACTTTTATTAAATGTAAAACATGAGAATAATAGTAAAACTGCTTTCTTCTAATAATATAAATCTGGAAATGTTACCTATGTGAAGCTGAATTTACTTGCATAAGAGAGACACACTGCATCAAGAAAAGCGACGTCAAAGTAACAACGAAAAAAACTACTCTTTGAAAACATTCGAAATTCTCCGAAGCAAAAATTTGTCAGGAACACATTCTGATAATATAACTTAAGCAACGTTCATTAGGTATTGAAAATTATTCCAGACTTTTCCTTACAACAAAATTGAATGTTTATCACAATTTTTTACATTTATATTTATTAAAATTATTTCGAATTTATCTTTTTCTTTTTACTCCAGACATAATTAACGTCGCCATTTAGATCATAAAATTATGTTCAGTGTCAAAGAAAAATAAACGATAGGGACGATAAAATTATATATAAGTTTAAATTTTGATCGTTTTTCGTGAATAATGATCGAGTACTCGATCGGAAATATAAGCGAGTAATAGATTACTAAATATTGAACGATTTGACAACCCTCATAATAAGAGATCAAAATCTCTTTTCAAAGGGGTTTTATTCTTTTTAAACTTGCAAGAAGTGTTTTCAAAAAAAAAATGTTTAGCCATGTAATTTTTTAACTTCATGAAGTACATGAAAATTTCATTGTGACAGTAATTAATATTATATATTTACATATTCTCTCTCTCTCTCTCTCTCTCTCTCTCTCTCTCTCTCTCTCTCCTGATAATCATTGTACATTCTTTCAGTTTAAGCTGTTACCTGTATCCTTTTTCTCCCGTGTACCAGCATATCTAGATCCACATAGACTCTGAAGACCCAGTGGAAGGTCCTCTCCACAGAGACGGTAAAATTCTCCCGTCACAGAATGAAATTCATTTGCGATTACTACATTACTAAACATCTGAACCACCGTTAAACAACACAATCCAAATATGTAGTTGCACAATTCGTTACATTTGATCTGAAAAACAAAATATTTTAAAAAGGTATTCTAACAAATCAGAGTAGAGCATAACATATACATGTATACAGTTGAAAATTTTCGAAGATAGAAAACTTTAATGTAAATTTATTTTCGGGAGGAGGGATGTATTTCAGTTACTGTTTTACATACAAGTATGCATGCTTGGAAAGAAGAGTTAATGAATATGAGAAAAAAAATTCCTTTACTAAATATTTTAAATATTATTAGCAGTATTTATTCATATTGGACTTCAAAAGAATTTTAAATCTCTGTGGCCTATTATATTAGATTTTCAAAAAATTATACTTGTTGGAAAAGCCATTTCGAGGGCAATGATGTTTTTATGAAATGCATAAGCTTCAGTATCAATTCTTGAAAAGAGTGTAGCACAATGTTAGTGTTATCTCGAAAGTTAAATGTGAAAGAAGTCAAATATATATGCCTTTTTGGAAAACGCAACAATTACATCCAACATTTTAAATGCTATGCCATAGATTGAGTTTTGTGATATAGCCATGCGATGTCAAGAGAAAATCTTCTCAGACCTGTCTTATTTAAAAAACAGGGTATCATTTTAAAACATATATCTGGATATAGATGTGGGTAATCTACGTGATTAAATGTCATAAAGGCGATAAAAGAGATATATGTTATGGTAAATTTAAATGATGTCATGTCGAACTGTATTTATAATCCCTAAAGATGTTTAAAACATGATACCTTAGTTATTTAGATTTACAGCAAATCATTTACAGTAAAATCTTCAAGTCATTAATTCTTTTTTTTTTTTCAAAAATCAGCGGTATAATTTAAATTTGTTAAACACTTCGATCATTTATGAAGACTCTATGAAAAAGTAATATGTGTAAGTATAACACAATATTAATAACTCATCTGTACTCGCAAATGATGAGAAATGTCTTGCATTATATCACTGATGACGTTATACTAAATCAGATTTACTTAAAATCGTTTAAAATGTTAAAAGTCTCTGAGAAATAATGTCGGTCGGTTACGAGAACAAATCCTTTGAAGCCCAAAGGATCTACCAACAGATTGTATAATGTTCCAACAGTTCCATTTCTTAATGATTTCTAAAATCAGTGGAATGGCGATAGCCTGTAGTCAGCAGTAGTGATAAGCTTAATAAAATGGATAGAAAAAGGGTTGGTTTTTTCTAGATTGTAATTCTCATATGTATGGAAAGTGATAATTAAGTCATTAATTAAGTTAATTTTCTAAAGTTATTGTACACTACATGGCATCAGATTGGAGAAACTTACATTGTAAAGTATTAACTTTTACTGAATCATTGGACTGAATACACTTTAAAATATATATATTTACATTCTACATTGATTAATTGATTGATTGTTTATTGTTTAACGCCAACTCGGCAATATTTCAGCCATGTTTCGGTGGATAACTTATTTTAAATAATCGGTTTATGAAAAGTTTTTGGTTTCTCTGGCGGCCCCCAGTGAGCCTACTCTTTTTCGAAATCCAGAGAAACGGTCTTTTACGTGCCAAGGGGGTTGTAATCCTCTTTGTACATTGAAACAGGGTGTGAAGTTTCTTTCATAAAATCATTTATCTGTATAGATCTACTGTTGTGACAATTTATTTCGTTTATTTCAAGAAATCATTATTGCCTCATGTGATAAGGACCGCCAAAATATGGCTGAAATATTGCCGACTCGGCGTAAAACAATAACAATCAATCAATCATGTGATAAGGACATGCTTTTACTTCTTGCACCTATATTGAATGTATGTTGGAGAAACATATATTCCTGCTCAGTGGTGGATCAGGAAAATATAACACTGATTTGTAACAAGAGATTAATAAAGGTTACTATCACTGCAAATGTCAAAACATGTATCCTGTTATGATAGAAATGGCATATAGTGACGAGGTACTTACGTGACAAATTCGTAAATCGAAGCGAAAGATGAATGAATTTTTTTTTATGAACCAGCTCTGAGGTCAAAAGGCAATGATTGATAGTCACGATTGTTGTCAACACACCGGAAAACCTCCTTTTCCTTTTTTAAGGTATCGATTTGATCTTGTATTATAAATGTGTAGTTAATCCTTTGTTATACTAAACGTATCACATACAAGGTATTAGGATCAACGAATAATGGCTATTTGCTTTACTGCCAAAATACTGGTGACTATGTTTCAAGCGTATTCATACGTTGTTTATATTAATAGACATATTTATATGGTAAATTGATGTACCAGCAGGGTAAGACTAGGTAAAGAGGGGGAAATGTGATAAACAAAGTGAAAAAAAATCTATTTTTCTTTTTTGACTATATCGATATTATAAATTTGATTCCTGCTTTAAAGAAAATCAAGTGATTATAATGATGTTCACTGTAATCTGTATACAGGAAAATTTTCGTTCCTCTTTTATTTTCGCCCCTTTTGCCCTACTCACGGCTTGGAGAATTTAAAACGGGGCAAAATTGCTTGCAAATGTGAAAGGGTAAAAATAACACATTGCGAACATAACCCTGTATACAATATACCTAGAATCACAAACAATAATTATTTTGTATCATTTTAAACCTTTACTATTTTCCCAGAAAGGTCAAAGAATTTCAGTCAGAATTTGAAAAGAAGATTTAAAGATTTTTACCACTTTGTGATAAATCAGCTTATCTAATTATCATGTCGTCTACCTAAAAGGTGTGTTTTACTTCTCCGTTGTAGATAATATATCCAGCAACGTGAATATAAACTTTCTGCACTTAATTCTTTTAAGAAATATTGGAAAGAATACGTCTATATTGCTATCAAACCTAAATAGTACTCACTGTATAAGTCCTACTCTCCATCCCATAACCTTCTGTCCCAGCTCTATGACCAGATCCACACAACTTCAAACATGATAAGGTATCTATATCCTCATATTTATATATAAATATACTCACCAAAGTTATTTCAAATACCCCTCCTACTTATAGTTGTTAGATTCCAAGCCAATTTTATTGTTTTTCAAGCAAGTCTGCTTTTTTGCAGATCATTATTGACTCCTTTTGTGGCGACTTATTACCAAGAACAGATTTCATCTTATCAATTTAATAAGAAGGTTGGGTATGGTTTGTAGGTATGAACATCTCTCTCTCTCATTATTATAATTAATTAAACCAAAACGTTTTTTGTTTTTATTCATAAAATGAAAAACACTAGAAAATGCTTCAAATGACTGGCGTGTTCAAAGTTGGAATTCATATTCCCATAAGACCAAATGGTTTTACAACATAAGAGCTGCCAATACTCAAGTGATGTCATTAAAATGTTAAACCTTCAATACTGTCACAGACTATAATAGTTTTTTTTTCTTTTTCTTTTCAAATTATGTTGTTGGAAGAAAAGAATGTGTCCTTATGAAAGCTGCATCCTCAGACGTATCCTTGAAGAGGACTTGATATAATAAAAACATATAAAATTTTATTTATGTCTTTCCCACCAACGAAGAATAAAATTCAGATCTAGTATATTTGTAAATTTTATTTGCCTTTATCAATATTTCGAGGAAATTGAGTTTCTTAGGATGCTCTAAACATCACTCTCTGAAGAGTTATCTAATTCCATGGTAGTTTTATGCAGTTAGAGTGATATGCCCTTTGCTATAAATAAAGTAGATAAAGACGTACAGTTTAAAAAGATAAAAGTACTGTAAACCAACTTTTATTCGCGTACGAGAAATACCCGCGAGTTTCGCGACCTACTTTAACTCGTGAATATTAATCGCCGCGAACCATTTATTGCTTTGTATTTGTATAGAATGATTCCTCAGTCGCAAAAATTAATCGTCGCGGATTGATTTCAAACTGACGAATCACGAATAAAAGATAACGCGAATAATAGTTGGTTTACAATATTCTTAACATCATATTAGACCAAGATAAAGTAACTGAAAACATAAATTACATGTATTTTCCAAAGGTTAGAAAGTAAAAGTCATATTCTTTATTTTCTCTGAACAATTTTTCCTAGAGAAAGATGGCAAGTTTCAAAGAAGTACGTTGAAAAATGAACTCTACAAAACTCAATATGTACTCCTTTTATGTGATACAATTTTCTGAACGTCTAAAACACATTTTTATTAGTTTTTAGAGCTTCCTTTATTCATTTATATATTTTTTTATCAAAACATTTCTTTCAACATGGCTTAGAAATAGTTTTAATAAGTACAAATTATGAATTGTTTTGTCTTTTTCATTATTCAGTACAATTCAACCTTGAATCATTATTAAATACATTTAATTAAATACATAAGGTTATACACATTTGAGGCATACTTTCAGAATAACATACGGTTACATATAAACTGAATGTCTCTTTTTAACGCGTAAGTGCAAACATTCATTGTTTAAATGTAAATTCTTTAACCACATAATATTTTTAGAGTTATTTCTATAATCTGATTTTTTCAAATGCTTTATTGTGATCGACTGCAACGCTATGTAACCATTTTGGTGCACATTACTGGACGCTCTAATGTGTTTTCTAAGGAGTGTCAGCTTCTTATAATTTTTTCCTGACATTTTTCGCACTAAAGAGATTATGAGTTCTTCCGAGTAAAATAAGGATAAGCATTTCTGATAAAAGGTTTTTACATCATGTATTTTGCTGCCCTGTCATTTGTTAACACAATGTGTCAAATTCTCCAAAACCACTGCACCAATTTCAGCCATTCTTGACACAAAGAATATGTTGAAGAATAAAGCAAATCAATGCACGGAAAACAAAAGTGAGCCTAGAACGCCAATAGATTTGAATATTTTTATTATCTAAGGGTTTAAATCTTCAAAACACAAATATTTTAGTATGCATACGAACGTTCAGTGCATTTATATCATACGATTAACTTTTAAGTTTATTCCCAAACAAAAATTGATATAGTTTACTATTAATAGTTAGCTATAGTTAACTATAGTAAATACATTGATTTACTATAAAACTTTACTTAGAACTTTTT